AGCAATTCAACACGGCGCAAACATATTGGAAACGGTGACCAAATGGTTTAATGGTTCAAAGAGTGCCTAAAGTGCTTAATTGTGCAGGCTATCTATCTTTCGTTTGCCCGAGGTGTGAAAATGTGTCGAAATGCTCAGGTGAGTTGAGTTGAGTTAAGAACTGACATCATAGCACTCCGGGCATTCCCACACGCAGTCCGTCCCCCTCTTCAGCGCAGAGTTCCAGTACTGATGGTACAGGTTGTAGTCTGGTTATATGTCCGTCTAGCTGTTGCTCTGAGAACAGTGAGCCAGTCAGACCCTCTGATCACACCAAGGTGCAACGCCGGAGTTCCGGAGCACGTGCTCTGCGCCTGCTGTCATTTTTATCTTCGAAATGCTCATTTGTTTCACAGCTTCTGTTGACCTCGTATGCAAACTTGCTTTTTGACATCTGATTAGTTTATTTCTAGCACACCCAGCTTATATACATTTCATATATTGAAAGGAGTTTTGGTTAAACAAACGTTAGTCTCCCCACACAAAGTAGGTCCCGTTTCATTGATAACTTTGTTGGACTGGTCTACCATGCTACCATGCTGATGGTTACAGGTGTGCTGCTCTGTTATTTGCTATCTGGGTTGTCTTAGATCTACGTTTTTATTCCGAGAAAGAGAATGCTTGTGACATAGGTTTCATCACTTTCTAAAGAGGTTTTGTGTTAGACCCAGTTTGTCGATGTTTTCGGAGTCTTAAAAGCGCTGGCATGGTGAAATATACAATACGCGAAATCAACGGCATTGCGGAACACCCTCGTGACCTTGTGGCAAAGTCGCGTGACTCAAAGCCGACCAGTCAGGGTGAGCTAGGCTGAAGGTTGACAAATCAGACATAAGCTAGTGTGTATATGGGCGGTTCGTGGGGGAGATCAATGTTACTATTACCAGAGTTTTAATTAAATCACGTTGCCATATTTTGTCTTTACAGAATGTGGCAAGAATACACCCACGAAAGACACAGTGACGTCAGGAAAACGCAGAGAGCAGTTTCCAAGTCAAGATTTTCTCATTTCCAAAGTTTGACTAACAACCTGGATAACTGTGATGGTATGGTTATTATAGCGGGTGTAGGACTCCGACCAACAACAGCCACGCCTCGCAATCAGACACCTGGAGCTACTGGAGTCTTTGTCACCTTGGCCGTTGATGAGAACAAAGTACTAAGCCCCTTCACAACTACAATGGTTAAACCTGCCACAACTAAAGAGAAAGGTACCAGGTTCATCTGCTCGCAGCAGAACGATAGCGATCGCACGAATCGGGTTGTCGGCCGGGTGACAATTTGCCAAGAGATGGACGGTATGCAGAGAATTCTGGTACAGCGGAAGCTGAAACTGCCAGACGACCAGTTGACGCCAATTGTGGTTAATCTCTTGGATCACAACGATCAGTCCAAATATAAAATTACTATCACGCCAGCGGATACTGTAGACAGTTTCAGAAAGAGGCTCTGGCGGAAGCTGGATGTTTCACACGACGAGACTATAGTTTGCAACGGGAAACAATTAAAAAAGGGTCACACATTAGGGTATTATAGAGTGACAGAGAACTGCACTATGCACTTAATAGCCAGCATGATTGGTGGTTAGTCTCGTCACAACTGCACAGGGTGTTACCTAAAGGTAACGAGACCAGAAAATCTTTAATATTGTTTCGGAAACCAAACATTTTTACAGAAACAAAACGACTTTGGGAATATTATTCAGAAATACTTTCAGTAAATTGTTGTGTCTGTTCTTAGTATGTTAAGTACTATGTTAAGTACATCATTAGAATTTTGCAAAATCATAGAATGTGTTTAGGAAATGTTTAACTGGAAAATAAAATGAAGCTTATAGTACTTACTGTGTGTTCTTCCACCAATCTGATGTATGTTGTTTTACGAATATGTTTCATACTGATGATGGTTGTGCAGAGAAAGAGAGAATAGTGGGGAAAATCCGGGAGGAAAAAAAAAACTGAGAGTAGAAGAGTGAGGGAGAGTAGGAGATGTAGATAGAAAACGGAGACAGAGGGATCGACAGCAGGAGAATGAGAAGGAAAGAAGAATGGAAGAGGGTCAGACAGAAAAGGAGAGAAAATGAGCGGAGCGGAGAGAGGAAAACGATGTTTGGGGAGAAAGGGGAGATAGAAAGAGAAGGAGAGGGATGAGGGAGAGAGCCATAAATTTTAGAGAGAGAGAGAGAGAGAGAGAGAGAGAGTGAGCCATACAGAGAGATAAACAGAAAGAGACAGAGAGAAACAGAGAGAGACAGAGAAGGAGAAAAGTAGATCGCAGTTCACAACTTCAAAATACATGGTTTGGTTCACCTGCAAGCAATCTGCGTCGACGGTGTGACTTTCTCAATGGCAAACTTTTTCTTCTTATTCTACTTCTGTTGCCGCCTCACTGATACGAGGTTGTAGTCCAGTTTGGTGGTTTTCTATATCTGTCTTGACCATCTCGTGTGGCTTAGATCAGAGGTTCTCAAACTGGGTGCCGCGGCACTTTGGGGTGTATGCCAGCACAACAAGGGTGCCACGGCGAAAAAAGTTTTAAAACCCCTGGCGTAGATGATGCCAAATGGAAACACTATTGAGCGCGTGCTGCAGTGCTCTTTGTGTCATCAGTGTGGTGATATCACATCTCTCATGTAGCTAGCAATGTTAAATAACAGTGCTTTTTACAAAGAGCAAACACAACTCAGTCTAATCAAGTGTCAGTTTATTTATTCAATACAACAACTAAATGGTAAGAGAAGTTGACCACATGAACTAGGGACAGAGGGAATGTGAGAATACATAGGATACCCACCAACCCGCTCGACAACTCTTTACGTCCACCATATTCAAATCACACAAACAGTCGCTATATGTTTTTATACTTTACACAGAAAAAAAAAAAAAAAAAAAGACTACAAGAACTTCAGGTCAAAAGAGGCGTCGCCAGACGTGAACACAATACAGGTAGACAAAGAAGAATAGTAAACTAACAAAGAACTTGTTTTATCAGTCATCACACGCTGAGGGATATCCTGAAGATGGGTTCTGCGCCCTTATAGACTTGTCCCATGTTCATTGAGAATAATCTGTCAATTGACTAACTAACTAATACTTCATACAGGCATCACACATGATAAGACAAGTTAATACGGCCATCAAACGTAAGGATATCTGGAAGCATGTTGGGAAATATAATGTCATCCAGAATGTTTTGGGGATTTTAAACTGTTATTATAATTGCAGTAAATGACACACCTCCACGTCTTCAGACGCAGTGGGCATATAGGGCTAGACTTATACTTTATAGAGCAATCGGTACTTGGTGGGGGTGATGTGATCGACATCATGCCGGCTGCCTTTACCTTTACCTATTTAAGGATGGGTCGACATTCTAGCCAACGTAGCTTAAAAAAATAAAGTCTAGATCTGCCAGGACCTGCACACCCTGACCTTCAAGTCCACATCTATAAGACGGTGGCTGCCATTATAAAAGAAGTTTTGAATGAATAAAGAGCCACTATGGTGTAGTGGCTGGACGCTGGCGTGTGGATACGAAAAGTGTTAGTTCGGGTCCTCACGGAGCCCGATTTTATGAAAAATAACCCTTGTTCCCAGGTTGAACTAGACTTCAGTGGGTGCCAGGTGCAGTTTTGGGAAGTAAAGGCGGCCGGCGTGATGCTGACCACATCTCGCACCAAGTGCCCATTGATCTATGAAATATAGGTCTAGTCCTGAATGCCCAGTACGCCTAAAAAGGTCCTTTGCTTTTTTTGTTTATTGGATGTAGGACGTATGGCGTCTTAAAATGTTCATAAAAGTTTAGTTTTGCATGACCTTGTGTGACCTTGAGGCCTAAAATGTTTATAAAGGTGTTCAGATTTCGTGACCTTGTGTGACCCTGAGGCTTAAAACTGCGCAGATTAAGAACACCCTTTTCTTCAAAGAGGGAGTCGCTACAGCAATTGCATCTGTAACTTTGTAAACAATCCGGAAGAAGTGGCAGGAGATTGAATACCGTATAAACATCACACAGGCTGTAAATGACGCCCGTTTCGGGGTGTGCTGCGGTAAGTCTAAAACTTTTTATCTTTTCTGAAAATTGTAAGACGCCACACGTATATATCTATTGGCCAGAGACTCAGAATCGATGAGACCAGAATCCCCATCAAACCCTTATATGGACACGGGAAGGGGAAAAATAACGGGGAAGACCAGGAGAGATGTGCGTAGAACCATCATCAGGAAAGGCTCAATCATGGGCCTAATGAAATCAAGTACTGGGACAGCTAGCCCCCCTCATACAGCATTAGACAATCCCAATCAGCACAAAGAGACATCTTATTCAAAGCATATTTATTCCAACTCTGTGCTACCAGTGCCAGACATGGTCACTCACAACAAACCATAAATGAAAATTAGTAACCATGGAGATGAGGTGTCTGAGAAGGGCTGTAGGAGTGACCATAAGAGATCAGATCAGGAATGAGATCATAAGAGAACAAGTCGGCACAGAACCAATTCTGGATTACATACGAAGACAGCCGGTGAATTGGTTTGCCCACTTAGAGATAATGCCTTGTGACACCATACCATACAAAGCATACATGGAAAGAGAAGAAGGACGTAGAGTACGAGGTAGACCAAGAACAATATGGAAGGATAACATCAGAGAAACTTTTCAACAGCACGATGTGCCTATGGTCGAGGCGGTAAGAAGAGCTAGAGACAGAACCTTATATCTCCCTCGACACCCACAGCGGTAAAAGAGGAAGTGAAGAAGAAGAAGATGGGCCTAATGAACATCGAAGACCTGAAACAGATTGCTACGAACCGCCAGACATGGAGAGCTATGACCTCTGCCGAATGCCTCGCCCATGGCTCAAGAGGAAATACTAACTAACTCGTGTGTATATAGTAAATACTAGTAAGTTTATCATCTCGGCAATCATTCTCGATTGTTAAACATTGACGTTAAACATGTTAGAACTCTTCGTGCAACCCTCGTTCTGTGTCTGCATTTGTAGCTAACTCCTCTTCCTTGACCAAATCTTGTTCTTGATTTTCGATTTCGGCATAGGCCTTGTTGAAGACATCGGCCATCTTTTGCAGCAGGGAGCTGTCTAAGCTCAGCAGGGAGGTTTTCGATATCTGGTCCAGGTGATTGCCAAAATTGAGGATTTTAAATACAGTGTACGGGTTTGGCAGCGCAGGATCCTGAAAGTTGTAAAAAAATTAATATTAGTTTTTTTCTACGTATCCTTTGCAGGACCTTGCAGAACCAACCTCAGTATTTTTGGCTGCTGTGGTTTTTCTAGACAAATTTTATGTTCAGTATTTTGAAATTGTTGTCTAAACGGTCAGCTCTTGGTACCGTCATTGAAACCAACACAAATCATTCAGCTGCCAAATTGGCTGCAGCTGGTATGGAACTCGACAGCTCGGCTTTACGAAGCGAGTTCGCAACGCCTAAACCACAAACACCGACTGAATAAAATCTACTTTATGTATGATTTTAAGATATTGCTGCGTCAGAAAGACCTCAACTCCCTCTCACCAATGATAAAAACAGGAAATGGTGCGCAATAACATCATGAACATAATTCTAAGTCAATTTTCTCCCTGATGATGTGTGCCTTTCTATGATCGCCCTTTTTCCCAAATATGTAAAGATCCCTTTTCACGCCTTCTAGGCGCATCAGGCATATTTGAAGAGCACCCATATTTTTACAGACCAAACGGCACAATGTGTGTAATGTTTTCAGCATTACGTCGGCCGTCTTTACTTTCCCAGGACAGCCATCCTGGTACCCATTTTAGGCTCGGTTGACTTGCGAACGCCCCATACCATGATCAAAATCCACGCAGCCAGCAGTGGGTTTCGGTCGCGTTACGTTGGAATTACGAGTCGGACTCGCCACGGACACCGCTGTTTCCCCATTTATGTATTTTTAAAAAAAGTTTTGGCACGTCCGTCTTATAATGCCCTGGCAGCATCCAGACGACCCCAATATTAGGTCGTGGCGTCAAAACGAACCGGAACCGTTCAGAGCCACTACCTTCTCTCTTTTAGAGTTTCCTAATTCGATTCTTTAAGTTTACTCGTAGTCTTTGCCCGATCCAACCTTTTGATTTTATGGAAAACCCAGAGAAACGAGACCAGAGTATCAATGAATAAAGTTCAACCCCACCAGGACCGCACGCAGAGCCACACACACCCGGTGACACAAAGTGCCACCATTCGTATGAGAATCACCCAGGCGCAAGTCCCAGAAACTCCACTCACCCGTTAGGTTATAATTGGGCCCCTGACTACAGCTGGAGTGGGACTTTAAAATAGCCAAAAATTGGGTTCTTTATTATTATCCAACTCCCAGATGACAGTCCAACATTTTAGAGGGTGGTAAGACCGGGTTTCCCGGCCTTCTGATGCTTTGAACGACTCCAAAACATCTAGAACTGGTCATAACCTCAACCCACCAACGTCCCACAAGAGAATGCAGACTATTTAGGGTAGAATAATAAAAAAGCATCAAAAATTACGTCCAGTATTGGAACGGCTGTATATTGTAATAACCAAAGTATTGTCCTGCATGCAATTTAACAATTTAAGAAAATAGATATAAAAAAAAAAAAACTTCCTCATGCGGGGTTATTTTATTGTTGCCGAGGGCCCTAATTATTATCCAATCTATGGGTTGAACGGGGTTTCTGGAACCTCTCTACTGGTGTTCCTCATTCGAATGATAGCACATTGTGTCACCTGGTGTTTATCGTCGGTGTGATATCCTGCCAGTGAACAAAGAAGAAGAAGAAGAAGAAGAAGAAGAAGAAGAAGAAGAAGAAGAAGAAGAAGAAGAAGAAGAAGAAGAAGAAGACGTTACTCCTGCAGGCTGCAGAACCAGAAGAGAAAATCTACCTACGCGACCTTCACATGATTAGGCAGAAGTTTTTGGCGGGTCACCTGGACTTTTCCCAGTTCAACATCGGACTGCATCGCCCATTGAGTACCTGGTGTTCTATTAAAAATATGACCTGGCATCATATGCGCTTTAAGCCGAAGGAGTGATTCAGGCCTTCCAGGGTCCCAGGTTGAAGGGAAAGAAATAAACCCACCGCCGCCACAACAAGCATGTAGTAAAAGGCGACTAACTAGGGCTTTCCTTCGAAATCGGGGTGCGTCTGCCTAAGAGGCGAGAAACCAGCAGTCTGCAAACAGGTAAGTTAGCTATGTATAAACGAAAGCACATGCAACAAGCAAAATTGTGAACAGGACTAAAATCTAGCAAAGGATGTACAACCACAACTTTCTGCTGGAGCTTACAGCCGGTGAACACAAAGAAGACAAAGAGGAATACACTTAAAGCAAAGAGATACAACTGCTATTTCTGTTTTGTTTTTTTTTAAATATTTTTTATGATTGGTTCGACGTTAGTCTCCGCAGACCCCGCCCATATACATACTAGATCACTTCTGACTGGTAGTTATTGAGCCCCGTGACCTTCGCACACGGTTACGGAGGTGTTCCGCAATGCCGTTGATATTGAGTATTGTATATTTCAGCACGCTAATGCTTTCAACACTCCAAACACATGGAGAAACTGGGTCTAACGCAACTCCCCCCCCCCCCCTCCCCTAGAGATTGCTTCAATCTATGTCACAGGCATTGTCTTTCTCGGAAGGAAAACGTTAACGCAAGACATCGCTGAAACCAAACAAGAGAGCGGGACACATCTGTAACTTTCAGGAAAGTCGACCAGTACAACAAACTTGTAAATGCAAAATGACCTACTCTATTTGGGGAGACGAACGTCGAACTAACCCTTTTTTTAATTATTGTAATATAAATTACCTCCCCTACAACTTCCTTGAAGAAATAGTCAAATTTGTCTAGCTTCAAAACATCATTTCTGTCGACTAGGGAGATGAGAATATGTCTTAGTCTCTCCGCATTTAGCTCCTCGTCTTGCAGTCTCTGTGAGATAGTTCACATTCGTATACAGACACAGGACATAAGCAAACTAAAAAACAGGAACTTTAGACAGAATGCCCCATACGTTTCACCCATAAGAGAAAGGCTTGTTGTTATTATTATTATTATTATTATTATTATTATTATTATTATTATTATTATTATTATTATCCTCTTGAACTAAGATATAACTAAATGAGTCCCTGCCCCACTGACCAAACACGTTTATAGTCTGGTGGGGGATATGGAAAAAGCCCATCCCCCTCCTCATCCACAAATTACAATTTTCGTAGGCAAGAGAGAGAGAGAGAGAGAGAGAGAGAGAGAGAGAGAGAGAGAGAGAGAGAGAGAGAGAGAAAGATAGAGAGAGAGAGAGAGAGAAAAAGAAAGAGAGAGAGAAAAAGAAAGAAATATAGAGAGAAAGAGAGAGAAAGAGAGAGTGAAAAGAGAGAGAGAGAGAGAGAGAGAAAGAGATAACAAGAGAGAGAAAGAAAGAAAGAGAGAGAAAGAGTAATAGAGAGAAAGATAGAGAGAAAGAAAGAGAGAAAGAAAGAGAGAGAAATAGAGAGACAAAGAGAGAGGAAAAGAAAGAAAGAGAAATAGAGAGACAAAGAGAGGGGGAAAAGAAAGAGAGAGAGTGCTCACAGGGCTTTTTTTCTAGGTAATAATAATAATAATAATAATAATAATAATAATAATAATAATAAAATAATAATAATAATAATACTTTGCTAAATGGCAAATAAAAATAATTATATAACTAAAACAATATGAAATTTGCAAACAAATACTTTTAAAGAGAATTTTTATGAATAAATTAACAGGGCCGTTTAGACCCTTCGTGATTTTTTTCAGGGTTGGGGGGGGGGGGGGTGTGGGTTTAAAGATGGATTCGTGGTAACAAGTTGCCATAGGTCGTATTGCATGGAGGGCCGTTATCAGGAGGTGAATGGGGAGGAAGAAAAAAAAATAATGTAAACAGGTTAAAGGCTGAACGTCTGAGAAGAAACCAGTCAATGACATAATATGGCAAGAATATCCCTGTATGGTAAGAATATCCCTGTATGGCAAGAATATCCCTGTATGGATAGAATATCCCTGTATGGCAAGAATATCCCTGAAATCCCTTGCTCTTATTGTGGAAAAGTTTTCTTAACGCAAGCCGTTGTTGAAAGTCGCCATTGCCATCGCCATAGGCTGTGATTCCTTTGCCTCCCTCTAGCACTATATATTAATATCGTCTTCTTCTTCTTGGCGTTCACTGTTTTAAGCTCCGACTGAAAGCTCTGGTTGTTCGTCCACTTCTGGATTTTGGTCTGGTTCTAGAATTCAACTTTTGCATGCACATTCATTTCAGAGATTTAATTACAGACTGTGGAGCTTGTTTGTTCGCAGAGGGTTGGTTCATCGCTTCTGAGGCAGATACACTCCGTCTTCAAATGAAACATCCTCAATTAGTCGCCACCTACGACATGCTTGTCAGAAGTTCAGTGGGTCTATTCTTTATTCCCCAAATTAAAGCCTCGAAACCCACACGGGTATGTCTGATAACTGAATTTGATTACTTGACCGGTAAGGAGTAGAAACGTTAAATATAGGTGGCTACGACAACACAGCAGAGGAGACTATACATTTGATGGAAAAACACCAAGTGAAGATTGAAGGTTTGGCAGAGTTAGGGTTAAAGGGAAAAGGGACAGTAAGGTTACATACAGATTGCGCATTGCTATACTCTGGTATAGACAAGACTCAACATGCAAAGCATATAAAGATACCTCTGTCAACCAAAGCAAATCTCATGAGAAAGGGTGTTTGGCGGACACTGTGCTACCAGTACCAAACATGGACCCTTACTACAACTAACGAGCGGAAGATCGTAACAAGATAGATGATTTGTCATAGGAGAGCTGCCGGTGTGACGAGGAGAGATCAAATTAACAATGAAGAAATTAGGGGAATAAAACCAGTCATACATTTCATTAAAGAACAATAAATATAATGGTTTGGCCACCTGACGAGAATGCCCTGGTACCAACTGCCACAGAGAGCCACGCTGAAGAAATACAATGAACACAGACCAAGAGAAAGACCACGCAAGAGACGGAGCGATATCATCAGGAGCAAACTAGAAGAAATAAACGCCAGCTTGTACAATGCATTGGGGAAAGTGTCCTAACGATCCTTACATCTTTCCCCAACACCTCGTTGAGGTAAATGGTGGAAGAGAAGAAGAAGAAGAAGAAGAAGAAGAAGCAGAGGAGCCCATTTGGGAGAATTTAACCAAGAAACAATAACAATAAAAATATACGAAACTAAACCAAACGAAACATTGTCATATCTACCATCATACCAGCCTTCCATTGGCGAACACGGTCAGGAAATAGGCGTCGCTGAGTGGGATAAACTCCTGCTCGTTGAGTTCACAGCCAGAATCGTCAAACTCTGTCACGGGGAAAAACTCCACTGTGATTGAGATGCTCCTGCCGTAGGAACGAACTTGATGGAGGTAACCTGTAGTTGTATTCCAACAATGATGGGTAATCAAGAGATGAGGAAAAGACGAAGGCTTTGGATAGGACATACGTTGAGAAAACATGAAAATAATATACATACAATGGTTTTTTTCATTGGAACCCACAGTGGCAGAGCAAACAACTACAGGGAGAAGGGGTCTGAAAAGTGAAGTTAAAAAAAAATGAGGCAGGACATGAGGGGAGTCGTAAAGAATAAGATGACTTGGCATGTTGTTTTGGAGGGCATGTGTATTATATAGGGATTATTGGCACACACAAAAAGCAGTGTAATTATTTTGATAACCTGTCTGAGAAACTGTTCTTAAGGGAAGAGATGAGTGAAGTTCGTTGCTCATTGTTCATTATTGAGATCATTTTCATCGCACACCGGACATGACCATAAGTGCTCCAATCCTCTCCTAGGAATGTCTTCAAGTGTTTTTTAGGCTAACTCCCATTCTTTTGTAGTTTATTTAACGATGGGTGTCTCCCGCATTAGTTTTCCTGTCTCGTGGCTCCAGTTGATACACCCAGGGTATGCAGTCTATTCAGTGAAAAATCATTTTCCACGAAACTGAGAGCCTCTTAGCGTTTAGCTTCTCGTATGGCATTGATAATGTGGCTCCTGTCCATAGAGAGCCCATTCCTTGTAGTTGCACTGCCAGCCAGAGCGTCTGCTCTCTCATTGCCTTTCACACCAGTATGCAACTGGACACACCCAAAAAAAGGTGATTTTGCGAAAAAATGCGAGTTGTATTAGATGAAGCCATTGTTTCTGCATGTACTCCGCCTTGATCTTCTGTAGCATGCTTATTGAATCGCTGATCAAACATTAACTGGTGAACTCTTAAGTATTTAGCCCTTCTAGGGCTTTTGTCACATCTATGATCACCTTTGTCATACTGCTGGTGGTTCAAGCAAAGGCTCCACTATCTTCTTTAATGACTTTTCCTTTGGTTCATGCCGTGAAAGTTTATTTACTTCACTTCTGACGAATAATATAACCATCTGAGCGTGAAGTTAAGAACCAGCATCACCACACTCGGGGCAATCTCATAAGTGCCCCGTTCCCACCTTCAGCAGCCAGGCCAGCGTTTCAGAGGTATCAGTAGCAGTTTGGCTGCACGTCCGTCTTCGAGTTCTGTGAGTTCTTGGCCGGGAAATGGAGCCAGTCCTAGGGTGTGTATAAAAACCATGGAAAGTTAAGAAACTCTGATAGCGAAATTTATGTGAAAGCTGCACAGAAAAAGGTTTAATACCTTTATCGCTATAGGAAATATACAGTGTAATAAAGATGTTTGTAACAATTAATTGACAGACAGACATAATACAGCTTATAAGAAATAGGTTTAATACATTTATCAATATGGGAAATATCCAGTGTAATAAAGATGTTTGTAACAATTAATTGACAGACAGACATAATAAAGCTTATAAGAAATAGGTTTAATACATATGGGAAATATACAGTGTAAAAAAGATGTTTGTAACAATTAATTGACAGAAAGACATAATAAAGCTTATAAGAGATGGGTTTAATACATATGGGAAATATACAGTGTAAAAAAAGATGTTTGTAACAACTTATTCACCGACAGACATAAAAAAAAGCTCATAAGAAAATGAAAATCCATATTCTTGTGGTATACATCTGTTGAGAAGCGATATATGGTTTTTTTTCCTCTCTCTAATTTAACAAGTGCTTATTGAAGACTTTACATACACATTAGAAAATAATACAGTAGAACATCGCTTAATGAGCACCTCTCATAACGAGTAATTCGCATGACGAGCAAAAAAAACTGTAAAAAAAATGTCTTGCTTAACGAGCGACGTTTCGCATAGCGAGGAGAGGGGAAGTCCTGAATTGTGCGCATGTTACATCAGTCTGTGTTTAGCACTCGTTCCAGTAGCATCGTAGTGTCGCTTGTGATCACACATTTTCTCAAACTTGTGTTATATTGTAATATATGTACAGGAATCCGCCAAGCCTACAAGATGACCTTTCTGAAGAATTTAAGTTCTTCAAGATCCAGTTTCTGCCTCCCAACACCACTCTGTTACTCCAGCTCATGGACAAGCAAAATATTTCTAACCTTAGGAAACTCTACACTAAAGCACTCTCCGAGCATTGTTTTCAGGTGACGAAAGGGACCAACCTTACTCTCAAAGAGTTTTGGAAAAACCACTTCCACATCGTTGCCTGCCTCAAGATGATCAACAAGGCGGGGGAAGGGGTTACCAAGAGAACCATAACTTCTGCTTGGACGAAGCTTTAGCCGGAACGCGTTGTCGATTTGTGACTTTAAGGGGTTAGAGACAGTACCTGTGGAATCTGTAGTCAACGAGATTGTGTCTTTGGTCACTATCATGAGATTGTAGGTGGATAACAGTGATATCGAAAAGCTTGTGGAAGAGCACAGCCGAGAGCTGACCACCGAAGAGCTTATGGAGTTGCATTGTGTTTCACAGCAAGAAGTTTTGGAGGAAAGTTTGTCAGAGGAGGAGGAGGAGATAACAGATAAGCAACAAACTTTCTGGCGAAATAAGAGAAATGCTGAAAGCATGGCAAACTGCTTCATCTTACATTGAGAAGCATCAAGGTAATAAGGAAGTGACTTTGCACATTGCAAATTTTTTAAAATGATAATTCTGAGCCACATTATTGCCAAATTTTGAAGCGTTGGCAAAAGCAAATGTCTCTGGACATCTTTCTAGTAAAAAAAAATAATTAGCTATGTATCATAATTATTTCGAATTTTTTTTTTTCCTGCAAATCGAATTCGCATTCCAAGTGGTTTCGTTCCGCGTTTGGAGAAAAGATGAAGATGATTCACTCTCCTTAACAATATGTATATACATTTCTTTGAATAAACGTTATACATAGCATTTTGTGAGTATCTGTTTCGACATGGAACGCATTATTGTATTTTACATTAATTTATATGAGAAAAATTGTTTCGCATAACGAGTGTTTCGCTTAACGAGTATGGTTCTGGAACGAATTATGCTCGTTAAGCGAGGTTCCACTGTAATTAGACCATACACACACACACAAAAAAAAAAGGTCAGCCTTACCAGCAGGGACAAACAAACAGTTGCCAGGGTAGAGGGTGGACCAGATCCACGGAACCCGAAGGATGCTCTTGAAGCTGAACATATTGACCATCTCTGTGTCCATGTCCGAATGTCCGCCTAGTGACCCAGGATACTGTTGAAAAAGCCATAGAATGAAACTGATGATTTAGTAATGGTAGGATACTATAAGGTTTCTTTTTCTTCTTCACGTTCACAGATCCTAAACTCCGTCCTAAACTTCTGGTTGTTCGTCCATTTCTGGACTTTGGTTTATATATGATTGGTAGCTGAGCTAAGGCGTGCTCGATTACTTAGGAGGCTGTAATGCTATGACGTCTTAGACCAGTGGCTCTCAATATTTTTAATGCCTCGACCCTTTATTAAAGTTCCCTCATGTTGTGGCGACCCTTTAATAAAATTCCCTCATGTTGTAACCCTTTAATAAAGTTCCCTCATGTTGTGGCGACCCTTTAATAAAGTTTTCTCATGTTGTGGCGACCCTTTAATAAAGTTCCCTCATGTTGTGGCGACCCTTTAATAAAACTCCCTCATATTGTGGCGACCCTTTAATAAAGTTACCTAATGTTTTGGCGACCCTCAAACAATTATTTTCCTTCATAACCTCAATGAATATGTGTTTTCTGATGGTCTTAGGCAACCCCTGTAAAAGGGTCGCAAGACCCAAAAAAGGGTCGCGACATGCACGTCGAGAACCGTTGTCTTAGGCCGTCAGTTACAGGTGTCGTAACACCTACAATTCAGTTAGATAAAGGGCGTTTTATTTTTGGTTAACTTGTTATATAACATTTAACAATTCTCATTTTGAACTCTTAATAAAAAGGTCATTTTACCTACAGAGTCGCAGTAACAGTTTAGATAGAATGGGTCATTGTAACAATAGAGTAAGACGGATCAATTAATAATAATAATATTAGTGATAATAATAAAAGGGAGCCGCCGGGATCAAGAGGCTAGACGCTTGACTGCGGATCGGAAGGTCGTGGGTTCGGTTTCTGATGGAGGCCGGACTAATTTCAAAAATGTACCTTGACCCCTAGGTCGACCCAGCCTTGAGTGGGTACCAGGTGTAGTCCTGGGAAGTAAATACGGCCAGCGTTATGCTGATAACATCATCTAGCAAGTGCCGTTTGGTCTATAAAATATAGGTCTAGCCCTATATACCCAATACGCCTAAGGCGTGGAAAAGGGTCATTTACTTGACTTTAGAAATACAAATAATTATAATAATAAAAACGTAAAAAACCAACGGGATGTATGCGGTAATAAAATAACGCATGGTGCGTTGTTGAGTACTGAAAGTTAAATGGCACTGAGCATCCAGTGAGTGCTAGACCAGAGGCTATTTCTCCGCAGAGTGTTTAACAGCAAATGTGGCGGATGGTGATGATGGTTGTGGTAGTGATGATAACTTGATGATGGTGGTGGTAGTGATAATGATGATGATGTTGATGATGTTGACAGTGATGCTGGTGATGATGGATGATGTTAATGGTGTCGATGATGAATTTTATAATGACGGTAATGAGGACAGTGATGGTGATGATATTAATCGTCGTGATAATAACGACGACGATGGCGATGATGATGATATGGTCGTGATGAGGATGGTGATGGCTGATGATGATGATGAGGAGGATGACAATTATGATGACAATGATGATAGCAATGATGATGGTGATGATGATAATGAGAATGATGCTGATGAAGATCGTGATGAAAATGATGATGATAATGATAATGAGGATGATGATGATTAGGATAATAACGTCTTCGGTAGAGAGCAAAGCTTGTTAGTGAGTTTGTTCAATGAGAATGATGATGATACTGATGATAATATTAGTGATGAGGGCGAGGACCACCACGGTAATTGTGATGATTAGGATGATAGGGATGGTACATACGATAATGATGATGATGATTGCGACGTCGACGACGATGATGACGTTAATAATGATAATGATGATGATATGCAAGATATTTACGTCTTCGGTCCAGGGGAAAGCGTTTTTATGACTTTCTTCAATGAGGATGAAGTCTCTTCGACCAAAGATAACACAGTGCATGAGATGATTGTCATGGCTGTGCACCAGGCTGGAGGTGCCGCCAGCAGACATCCACAGCTGAACGGAGAGCAAGTTTTCACTTAGCGTGCCACATCGCAGGCATTTGGGTAGCTAGAGCAAAATAAAAAAAAATAAAAACTAAAAATTACAATGACCACTAAAACATGCTCATTTCGAAAAAAAATTTTTTTTTTCCATCAGATTACATTGGTATCCACAAAAACGTATTTGTGTGTGTACAAATGGTCAGCCCGATAGCTTTTCAGGAAATAGTAAAAAGATTGAGCGCAAAAATTGCACTAGCCGAACAAACAAAAGCGAACTTAATTAAAGCTTATATTTAAAAATTGACAGTCTTGTTGCATGGCATGGAGGTGTGTCGGCACACGATCTGATAAATGCTGCAGGAGATCGTGGATTATGGAGAGGCCTGATCGCCCACGCCAGTGATGATGATGATGATTAAAAACTGGGTACCAGGTAAGCCCTGTAAAGTATATCCGACTAGCGAGATGTTGACAACATAAAAGAAATATGAAAACATTAACCATTAAAAAAAATTACAAAATGTTAAGGACCCTTTATGGTGCCTTCAGGTCTAATGATCTATATTTGATAGATTAATCAGGATTCGGTGGGTGATGTAGTAGTCAATGTTTCGCTGACCACCTTTACTTTCCATGACCGTAGCTTCTACCCATTTTAAGCTGCGCTGACCGAGGAGCCTAGGTCATTTCTGAAAGAAATACAATTCGTTTCAATTTGGATTTGAACCTGTGACCTTCGGGCCTGCAGGCGGGGGTCCAGTATCAACGCCACGACGGCCACCGATAACCCAACTCATAGAATACTACAGGGTATTTCAAAATGATTAATAAACTTTCAGTCATGCACATTTCTTTGAATATACATTCCCTGGCATCTTTCCGTCTTTCCAGACGATAGTGTTATATTGCGCTTTGAGGAGGCATGAGACTCGCAGCCCACGGCGATGACGAGTGTAACTAGCCAGACCCGTTCCGTGTCAAGAAAAGTCTTCCACAATTATTGTGTGGGATTTTATGACTGCTGTGGCGGCCATTTGTGTTTATTCTGTCTCTTCTCAGACGGTCAGCTCTCATTCTTTCTGCAATCATTTCTTTCTTCACTCTCAATCACTTCCTGATATACCCTCTCCACACAACACGGTCCATGACATTTTGTTTTCGTGAGTCCACCTTATATCTGTATCATTCATGTTCCGCTTGCACACATCTTTATATCGTAGTAGAGTAATAAACAAACAGACAATATGTCGATCGGCACTCATAGAAAGAAGTAGAAAGATAGAAGAACACCAGACAATATAAAAATCTAAAGCTATAGTTACCATGCTGGGAATTGAACCTGTCACCTTTAAACGGCGTTTGCGCCTCGCCGAGGAAACAAGTGCACTAAGAACATAGTCACCTGGGCACCCCCAAGAAAAGTGTCTTTACTGGCCATGTCTATCGTACAGCTTGAAATCCACAACTATGGAATGGTTAGTTGCGTATCCTCTACAGGACGTTGCAGAACCAACCCCAGCAGCCCCTGGCTGTTGTGTGGTTTCTCTAGGCAAATTTACGTCCAGTAGTTTGCCATTGCTTTCTAGACGGTCAGCTCCCTGATACCACTGTCGAAACCAACGTAAGGCAACTATGGAATACCGGGAGGAAGTCTTTATTTATATCGTAGTAGAGATACGAATGTGTATTACATAATAATAATATACATACAAGACACAGAGAGAAAGGTCTAAAGTTCACAAACTTACAACAGAGGTTATAGATGGCTTAATATGGTCGCTGTCTGCTGCTCAGCAAACATCTCAGCTGCAGCCGAACTCATCCCACACACAAAGAAGCATCTCTTGCATAACGGAGTTTACTGCAGCTGTGATACGGTTCTACGGGTTACCCAACTGCGCCTAAGCGGTAGTATTTGAAACTTTAGACCTTCTCCTGTCTCTTTTATGTATCTTACTTATATGTAATGCATATTCAAAAAAATATAACTGATGAAAGTGTATCCATCATTTCGAATGGGTCAGTCTCGCAGTCGAGGAAAAATGGATTGGAAGAAGAGAAATGCACAGACAACAATATCTGTAAGGCAAAGAAGGAGGCGATATATATTTGCAGGTTTTCAGGGAAGTGGACACATCCTAAACAGATACTGGGATGGGAAACAAATAGATTGACGAAACATAAAAGAGTACACGAGAGACACCCCTAACCGAACAAAGAGGCTAATTCTATAAATGATATCGAGAAAAGGCGCAGAATAGACCGGGGAGGAGTAATAGATGGTCAGTCCCATGTGAAATATAAACATACTGATAACATAATGATGATGATGATGAAGAGGGTGGTTGTGGTGGTGGTGGCTATCATCGTCAAAGTTTAATTCATCTTCTTATTTCTTCTTCTTAACTGCTAAGAAGAGTTAGTTTTGTCCGTCCACTTTCTGACCCTTTTCAATAACATGAGTTTCGCGTGCACATACGTTTTACAGACCTTGCTTACTTGTATTCTAACTGTCTACTCCTCGCCTCTCAGACGGACACACTTCGACTTCGAAGGGAGAAACCCCTAATTAGTCACTTTTACGATACACTTGTTAGAGACATTAGGTCAATTCGTTTATCCACACAATGGTGCTTCGGAACCCATACATGAAGTCATTTAATCTTATTACATGTGTCTCTTCATTTTGGTTGTATAAACCACATTGCTTACCGGCAGATCAGGCATCATCTGCTTGGGCAGGTTACTGGCCAGGTACAGATTTTCGTACAAATAGTCATAGATGAATCTTTTTAATTTCATCATTTTATTTTCAGACAAGATTCGGCTTTGTCTGCGGGCAAGCTTCACCCGGACACTGACGTTCAGATTGCCGTATCTGAAACAGAGATGTCATGACTAACTAGGACTCCATGTGATGCTGATGTAAACACTACTGTTTTTGAAACAACAACTACAACTGCTATTTCTATTAGAAGCAGTTGTAATAAAAGAAGAAGAAGAAGAAGAAGAAGAAGAAGAGGAGAAGAAGAAGAAGAAGAAGAAGAAGAAGAAGAAGAAGAAGAAGAAGAAGAAGAAGAAGAAGAAGAAGAAGAAAGAAGAAGAAGAAGAAGAAGAAGAAGAAGAAGAAGAAGAAGAAGAAGAAGAAGAAAGAAGAAGAAGAAAGAAGAAGAAGAAGAAGAAGAAGAAGAAGAAGAAGAAGAAGAAGAAGAAGAAGAAGAAGAAGAAGAAGAAGAAGAAGAAGAAGAAGAAGAAGAAGAAGAAGAAATAGTAGTAGTAGTGGTGGTTGCAGTAGTAGTGGTGGTTGCAGTAGTAGTAGTAGTGGTTCTTCTTCTTCTTCTTCTTCTTCTTCTTCTTCTTCTTCTTCTTCTTCTTCTTCTTCTTCTTCTTCTTCTTCTTCTTCTTCTTCTTCTTCTTCTTCTTCTTCTTCTTCTTCTTCTTCTTCTTCTTCTTCTTCTTCTGCTTTGTCGTCTCAGTGATATCAGGTTGTAGCCCAGTGTTGTGGTTTCCTGTATTTGTCTCTCGGCTTTCGGGTGGAAGCAGAACATTATATACAACAATGAAAAGGAGACAAGCTTCGATGGTCACGTAATGAAGAAAGGTACACTGAAAAATATCGTGAAGACTTGAAAGATCATAGGTAGAAGAGACAGAGGCAGACCAAGAGAAATGATGATAAATAGTTTAAGACAGTCGCATGGAGGAATATCATCAGTGGAACTGATCCAGAACATCGAAGACCGAGATCTGTGGAGAGGCATGGACGCCTACTCCAGCTGGCAAGGCACTTGATGATTCTCAGGTAGCTTGAATAATGGATTTGTTCAACTTTTTGCAGGTTTCTGCAACACCATTATCCACTTCTTTCTTAGTCTTCCTATCGCCTTCCTTTCAGATGTTCTGCTGTAAAAAGTTTCGATGCGTCGCTCATATGTAGGTTTAAAAAACCCCAGTCAGACCTAATTTCAAACTGTATAAAAGAGATTTCTTTTATCCGTCTATTCGATTATTATTTACAACCCTAGTCCTGACAGTGACAGTTAACAAAAGTGTTACTGTACTAGTCACAGTAGATATAGTAATAGAAGTAGCAACCTCAGTAGCAGCAGCAGGTGTGTCAGTTGTGGTAGTAATAGCAGCGTTGTTAGAATTATTAGTATTAGCAGTAGTTGCAGTAATAAAGTAGAAAAGTGTGAAAGTTGTGATGGTGGTGTTGATGGCGTGTTGGCGACGGAGTATGATAGTAGTAAGTTACTCACTTCTCATTCAAATATTTATCATCAGACCACTTGAGGAAAGCTGGAGCTTGTGTAGAGATAGATTGCCTGAAAACTGCTGGCTTGTTAACTTGGACATACTTCTCGTAGAACTCTCGTATACCTGGCATCTCCTTCTCTTCGTGTATGGGACCATCGGGTCGTCTTTGGGCGCCTGTATTAGATGATTAGGTCAAAATATCAGTTAAAGTTGATCTGTCTCTCCGTGTGGGTTCCGGGGCCCCATTGTGGAGGAAGACAACAATAGACCCACTGCCTTTCCAGCAAGCAAGTCTTAGGAGTCGACTAAATCAGAGCTTCCTTCGGAGTAGGAGTGCATCTGCCTGAGAGGCAAGGAATCACTAGTCTGGCCCATCCATCCATCCATCCATCCATCCATCCATCCATCCATCCATCCATCCATCCATCCATCCATCCATCCATCCATCCATCCATCCATCCATCCATCCATCCATCCATCCATCCATCCATCCATCCATCCATTTATAAAATACAAACTCGACCACGTTCAACAACAGCCACCCATAGGACAGCATACAGGGGAAAACATGTAAATATGTAAACAGACGTACCCAGACACCCATAGGACAGCATACAGGGGGAAAACATGTAAATAGGTAAACAGACTTACACAGACACCCATAGGACAGCACTCATGAGAAGAAAACAGATAAACAGACAGAATAGCTTACACGCCCACTCCGTAGGACAACATGTTACTTTGTGACCGATGTTGTTGTTGACTATACCGGCACCTTTCAATTTTTTAACTCTTTCATTCTCAGGATGTCACTGCTGATGCCCAAATAGGACAAACATGACAGCAACAAAATCATGCATATACTACATCCACATAAGCTAAATACACAACCCTAGAAAGAGTTTTGTGTGTTGTTGAGTGTTTTACTCAACCAATTAAGTGCCGTCTCTACAATGATGGTTGAATTCAATGGATCTCTGACGCGCTCTGTCTTTTGGCTCGGTTTGACAGATACACTCTCAGACTGCTGTTGGTCCAACTCTTGATGTTGTCCTCCCACTAGTATGGCTGTTTACCTCTTGCTCTCTCGTCTTTGATCTTTCCCTCCAGTATGGTTTTTAAAAGTGTATTATGTCTGCTAAAGGGGCCAAAATATTTCAATTTTTTTTAAAAATGTATTTACATAATTCTCTTTTTATTGGTAACCTTTCCATAACCTCTATATTTGATTGTTTTTGTTTCCGTGGAATACGACCTATTCTTCTGTTCTGTTGGTCTCCCCCCCCCCCCCCCCCCCCAGTATTGTAGAGACTACACGCTCCCCGTGCAGAATGATTCTTGCTAAGGCTTCACCCGCAGAATGATCCCTTCCTGTGCTCCCCGCGCAGAATAATCCCTGTCGGTGCTCCCCGTGAAGAATGATCCCTGTCGGTGCTCCCCACGGAGAATGATCCCTGTCGGTGCACCCCGTGCAGAATGATCCCTGTCGGTGCTCCCCATGAAGAATAATCCCTGTCGGTGCTCCCCACGGAGAATGATCCCTGTCGGTGCTCTCCACGCAGAATGATCCCTGTCGGTGCTCCCTATGAAGAATGATCCCTGTCGGTGCTCCCCACAGAGAAGGATCCCTGTCGGTGCTCCCCACGCAGAATGATCCCCGTCGGTGCTCCCCATGACGAATGATCCCTGTCGGTGCTTCCCGCGCAGAATGACCTCTGTGGGTCCGATTTATTAGGTCCATGGAGAGATAACACCAACACCTGTGAAACACAGCCTGTAGCAGAAGCTGCCAGATCAGAAGCAATGAGCACTGCTCTGTCTGTCCACCTGCCGGAGATTCCCCTCCTGTACCGCTGCAATCAAAGGCTAACAGCCAGTTTACACTGCACTTTCATTAGAGTTTTTGGCAAATATTTCCGTATCCTAAGATAAGGAATATCATAAATATATAATAAACAAAAAGACATTGTGTTGATCGGCTTTGATATATTTATGTGTTGAGTGCCGATCAATACATTGTCTGTTTTTTTCTTATATATTATATATATATATATATTATATATATATATATATATATATATATATATATATATATATATATATATATATATATATATATATATATATATATATTTCTACAGCCCTAAGGGTTATCCCTCTGTTCATTTATCTGAGTTACTTGTAACACAATGGAACCTACCAGTCAAATGTCTTTCTTAAATTTTCGTGTAGTCTAGACAAAGCATTACGGTCTGCTGTGTGTGTAAATTGTTGCTGTGTTTGTTATTCGACCTACGAATACACATTCTGTTTCCATCTGAAGCAGCAGGTGGCGAAGACAGGTTAATATAAATTTATGTAAATAATGGTGCAACTTCAATGGTTTGAAATAAATTATGTTCGTATTCCATAGTTGTGGATTACAAGCTGTACAATGGACATGGTCAATGAAGACACCTTTTTGGGGGGGGGGGGGGGGTGCCTAGTTGGTCATGTTCTTAGTACACTTGTTTCCATAGCGAGGCGCATACGCCATTTGGAGGTGACAAGTTCGATTTCCGGCACGGTAACTAAGCTTTCCATTTTTATGTTGTCTAGTGTGTCCTTCCATCTTTCTACTTCTTTCTATGAGTGCCGATCAGTAACTTTTCTGTTTGTTTAATTGTATATGTATATAGTAAAATGAGTAACCTGCTACTAATATTCTTCTCCATCCGAAGCAGCTGACCCTGGTGAGGTGTCAAATTTGTTAAACGTCGGCCAGGAAAATCCTACTGTGGAATGCTATAACTGTTTAATTTACTATTAAACAGCATAAGAAAACGTGCTCTTTGAGCCACTTCTCGTCAATCTTGCAGACAGCAGTCACGGTAGAATTTAAAAAAAAATTTTTTTTTCAATACAGACTTTTGAATATGTTAGACAGATATATTACCTAATGGATGCATATGTCCTTCAGGGCTTGATGATGAAGATTTGTGCACAGGATAGGGAAAAACGACATCCATTGACTGGTCTTTTAGAAAACTAAGCCTAGCAGATGTGGCGTAGATTTGCCACAATGTTAGCCAGAATATGATCAGGGCCTCTGTCAAAGGAATGCTCATTTTGGCTCCGTCTGAAGCAGCAGGTGCTGAAGACAGGCTGATCTACACAGATGAAAATTCCAACAAAGTACAATTTGAGGTGATTAAATTATAAACAGATATGATATGAATTTGTATAAATTATTGACATCAGTTGAGTTGAGTCCAGAATTGATATCGCAGCACTCATGACATTCCCATGCATGCTCCGTCCTCATTTTCAGCAGCAAGCGCAGAGTTACATGCTGTTACCGGTCACAATCTGGTTATATGTCCGCCTTGCCTTTCCTCTCTCTGATTACGCCTAGATGCCTCATTCTCGCCAAGCCATAATAATCTTCTATCTCTACTGATTCCGCTGCTTGTTCTCAAAGGGTCTTGCCCACATCTGCCTTATGTATCAATTCACCACCCAGTGGTGCAGATCCAGCCAATCTGTCTGCCTGTTCATTACCTAAAAGTAGAGTAAAAGATCCTTTTTACCCCGCCTTCTCCCTTTTTCATCTCTTTAGGTGTATTGGGAATTCAGGGCTAGACCTATATTTTTATAAACCAATCGGAACTCTGTGGTCAACAACACGCTGGTCGTCTTCACTTCCCAGGACTATACCTGATACCCACTCAAAGCTGGGTCGACCTGGGAGTCAAGGCCATTTTTTGAAGAAAGTCAGGACCCGAACCAACGACCTTCCGATCCACAGGCGAAGCGTCTGTCTGTCTCTCTGTCTCTCTCTCTCTCTCTCTCTCTCTCTCTGTCTGTCTGTCTCTCTCTCTCTCAGTTTCTGTCTTTCTGTCTCTGTTTCTGTCTCTGTCTGTCTCTCTCTCTCTCTCTCTCTCTCTCTCTCTCTCTGTGTGCCCCTCTGTCTGTCTCTCTCTGTCTGTCTCACTCTGTCTGTCTCTGTCTGTGTCTCTCTCTGTCTGTCTGCCTGTCACTCTCTGTCTCTCTGTGTCCCTCGCTGTCTGTCTCTCTCCCTCTCTCTTTCTTCAATGAACCAAACAATTTAATAAACCAACTATTCGTCTTTTTTTAAATTGTCACAATCACGTGACGCCTGTAAGGAAGCCTTTATTTGGGATGCATGACGCCACTGTACAGTCATTTACTTCCAATCATCTCTCAGATAATCTTCGTTTACAGACTGTCAACAAGAAGTTGTGGGATTTTCAATTGTACTGGAGTATTTAAACTCAAATGGGCACACAACAGATGAAACTACGGTGTAAGTTCAAAATATACAATTTATCATGAAGTTAAAAAAAGACATGTTAAATACACATGAACTAATAACCACAGGGAAAAAAAAAAAAAAAAATTTTACATATGCAAAACATTGTATTAAAAAAACCTTTGATTTAGAGAAATCAAAATTTTAAATGTTACAAAAATAGCTATTGTTTACAGCCCTCAAAACTATGCCACCCCAGAATTCTGGCGCCCCCCCCCCCCCAACTCCATTTTTCTATGCAGCTACATATGTTACACACGCCTAAGGAAGGTCTGACTGTAAGGTTAATTTACAAAGCTGACGTTTTACCCCACGAAGACCGCACAACGAGCAATAAACAACCGGTGACACAAAGTGCTACTATCTGGATAAGAATCATCCGCATACAAGTCCCAGAAACCCCGTTCAACCGTTAGGTTATATTAGGGCCCCCGACTAGAGCCGGGGTGGGGCTTTCTAATAACAAAATAAATTGCGTCCCATGTGGGAGCGAACCATACTATTTACAAAACCAGCAAGTAGAGACGACAACTACGTCATGTATTTCGCTAATTATGTTCTAACATTAAAATCTTATATTTAACAAATTATAGACAATAATAATATCAGTAGTTTATTATTAACTTACTAAAGATCGGGCATACCTCCTATCAAACAGAACTAATTTTGAATTATGTGTAGGATTACACCACAGCAATCACTTCTAAAACATACTGCTTGTTTTCTCACACACCGACAAGAAGTTTTCTTGTAAGCGCACCACACAACATGTTAGTTACCATATATACACACACCTTGAACAGTTCAAAATACGCAAGCACATACAATCTGAAGGAGTATAAGCGCCGGAACCCGAAGTTTCAAGTCCCATAACCCCCCCCCCCCTCCCTCAGGCAACCCGATTCCACTCCTCCCCCCTCCCCCCAAAAAAGAAGAAAGGAATAGAATAATGAGGGGGAGACTAAGGCTCATCCCCACCATCCGGAAAATTGCAATTTGGGGGGGGGGGGGGGGGAGAGAGAAACAAGCGGCCCCGAACCATGCATAGACATATGCATATATATATATATATATATATATATATATATATATATATATATATATATATATATATATATATATATACACATACATACATACACACACACACACACACACACATACACACACACATACACACATACATACACACATACATACATACATACCTACATACATACATACATACATACCTACCTACCTACCTACCTACCTACCTACCTACCTACCTACCTACCTACCTACCTACCTACCTACCTACCTACCTACCTACCTACCTACCTACCTACCTACCTACCTACCTACCTACCTACCTACCTACCTACCTACCTACATACATACATACATACATACATACATACATACATACATACATACATACATACATACATACATACATACATACATACATACATACATACATACATACATACATACATACATACATACATACATACATACATACATACATACATACATACATACATACATACATACATACATACATACATACATACATACATACATACATACATACATACATACATACATACATACATACATACATACATACATACATACATACATACATACATACATACATACATACATACATACATACATACATACATACATACATACATACATACATACATACATACATACATACATACATACATACATACATACATACATATACACATACATATACACACACATATACACATACATATACATATACACATAGATATACACATACATATACATGTACACATACATATACACATACATATACACACAAGTATTCATATATATATATATATATATATATATATATATATATTAATATGTATATATACATACATAGATATACACACACATATATTGATCAATATATATATATATATATATGTCTGTATGTGTGTGTGTTTGTATATAAATACGCATATATTTTTGAGTGTATAAATATTGTGTGTGTATATACATATATATTTTTAAACACACAAATATTGGAGAGACATTATTCAGGCAGACCTAGAAAAACTTGCGGTCACCAACTGGAAAGAGACGACCAATCACTGAGATTGATGGCTGCAGCGGACATCTGCAGCAATGAACCACAAACGCTCGGAATGTCAAAAATGTGTATTTATTAAATTTAAGCGCCTTCATGTAGATTAGACCCCTTGAAACCTATCTCCACCCCCTCCCCCCACCCTCCCAACAAATGTGTAAGAAGGGGGCAGAGATACCCTCCCCTTTTCCCAACTGTGTATCATTTGTGTCCACGCTTCTGCTCTTAATATAAAACATCCAGTTAGTGCGTTTTTCAAAGCTCCATGAAAAACCTATACCCAGCTAGTCGACAGTGAAGTGAGATAAGGAAAATATGCTACAGCTAAGATACGATAGTATTTCCGTGATCCGGTTTTTCTCGGCTTATCCGTGTTGTGTTTTATTGACATTTGTCGTCATGGACTATGTGTCGCTGCACGGAATTAGAGCAAGAAATGCTGCAGGGAGAATAGATTAGACCTACTGCTCCTTAACAAAGCATGTCGTACAAGGCAGCTAATAAAAGTTTTGCTGAAATTGGGTGTACGGAAGCAGTCTGTCTGATAAGCTTTCAAACATTGTGAGTGAGGAGGGAAAAAGGGGGGGGGGGGGGGACATATCACTGATGACATTAAGAGGGTTGCGTGGTCTCGAGACATGGTGGGATTTTTTCACGTGGACTTGGACTTCTAGTAATTCCCCTGCTCTCTGGGTAGTGAGACTGGACACCCGTATGCTGCGCACGTAGAAAATTCCCTGGCAGTTGAAAATCGAAAAGAGTAGCCTAACGGCGCTGCTAGGGCAACATTTGGAGTTTAAAATCTACCCAAAGTATTTCAGGATCCTCGCCGGTGCTACAGAGCTTGTGCACTGTGCTGAGCTTCTTCGAACTCAGACTTGAGTTAGAAGAAGAACGGAGCACTTATGGGTTACTACCCGTGTGCCATGATGTTGAGCCGTTGTTCAAACCTTAAACATGATGACATAACAAGCGTACACTTCGGCCATGCTTATATGTGTACTTCAGCAGTGAAAGACACGTGTAAAAATGTGTTTTCAAAACATTGGTAATCATGTAGATCACATTTTATAAATAAAAATAGTTTTATTAAAACATCTTTATTTATCCTATGTACATATTGAACGGAGTCTGTGGCTCAGGCGTTGCGAGTCCGACACGTAATTCCAACGTAACGCGATCGAAATCAACTGCTGGCTGGGTGGATTTTTATCAAGGTATGGGGCGTCGCAGGTCGACCCAGTCTATAATGGATACCAGGATGTATGTCCTGGGAAAGTAAAGATGGCCGGCGTAATTCTGACCACATTTCCCCCCTAGTGCCGATTAGTCTGTGAAATTATAGCTGCTCTTCCCATATGCCTAATGCGTCATAAGTAGTGAAAATGGATCTTTACGTAAACATATTGGACCCATTAAACAGCGTGCCAAGCGCCCGTTTGAGGGCGGGTGAAAGACAAAAAAGAAAGAACAATATTACAAAGCCTGGTTCCTGAAGCACATAAATGAACATACAGGACGAAAATATATATGGCAGAGAAACTGTTAATGGATCCCGTTATGTAATGCATACATGGCTGGCAGTTTCACCGCTTCAACAAACACCCATCCGTTAGTAAAAGTAAGTGTTAAAAAAATGATAGGAAATATTAGGGACAAAAAGAAAAAAAAAAAGAAAAAAA